GTGGGAGGGGGAGTGGGGAGGGGAGAGGTTTGTTTTATTTTCTTACCCCTTCTATCTCTTATTTCTTCATTCTTAAATTTCTTCGATTGCATCAACCTTTATCCAACATTTGATCGGAATCGGATTAAGTTCTCGCTCGCCAGGAAACATGCTTTCCATGCGAGCCAAATATGGCCAGAGTCAGCTAAAAACGTCATGATTGATTAAAGAAGAACTCCAAAATATGGATCATGGTGGGGAATTAATCCATCCTAAAACAGGCAAACGTCTTTAGAAACACTTGGAAGTCGTAGGAGCGTCTTCGACAATTACTGGAAGCCATCGGAGCATCTTTGGTAGTATTAAAGGGAACGGGAGATTTCAGAGAAACAAGGCGAGAAACTTTTCAAGCAAAGGGTTTCGTGTGAAATATCCTCTCTGCTTAATTTTGCAGGTTCAAGGAATTCACTGATCATGTCATACATTGATAAAAAATTGGTAATTGTAGGTGATAGTGGCTGTGGAAAAACTTCCCTTATGCTCTCATTCGCGTGCAAAAAGTTCCCCGAAGAATTTGTGCCAACAGTTTTTGACGGTGGCTATCGGGCCGTGATTAGAGTTGATGGAGACACAGTTGGGCTGGGATTTTGGGACACTCTAGCACAAGCGGAATACGAAAGATTGCGGCCTCTGTCTTATCATGGGGCTGATGTTATCCTGATGTGCTTCTCCATTGGTAGTCCTGACAGTTTGGAAAACATCTCTGAAAAATGGACTCCTGAAGTAAGGCAATTCTGCCCCAATGTGCCAATCATTTTGGTTGGTAACAAAAGAGATTTGAGAAACGACAAAAATGTGATAAACGAGCTATGGAAGTTGAAGCAAGCGCCTGTTACCAGCGAGGGAGGATTTGCGATGTGTCAAAAAATCAACGCCCATTTATACCTGGAATGTTCTTCTAAAGCTATGGAAGGAGTTAGCGATGTATTTGAAACGGCTGCTAGGGTTTCGCTGGAGACAACGAGACGCAGTAAGCGATTACCACGCCGTTGCCGTAGACATAAATGTGAAATACTGTAACTGGTTATTGCTTTTCTAAATCACAGTAATTGCACACCTACTCCTCCCCTGAACTAACATTAACTCCAACAAGTTGTTAACAGTTGACAGCTGTTTTGGATTAGGAGAGTGGTAGGTGCGCAGTTGTTCAGATACTGGAGTTGATCCGCCTCAGTTCAACCTCGTTCCCAGGGCCTTTTCCCTTCGTAGGAGGTGGGGCGGGGAAAAGGCCGTGGGAACGAGTTTGACCTCAGTTAGCAGAGGCGGATTCAGGAAGTTTGGACAGAGGGATGGGTGTTCAAGCTTTGTTTCAGAAAAAAAAATCCATGCCAGAGCTTAAGAAAGCAGCGAAATACTCGGTATTTCAAAGCACGTAGATTCTAAATACTTCACATTAAGTAATAACATGCACATAACAACATGTAATAACATGTCGATGCAAAAATTTGGTGTTAGATAAGTAATAAAAAAACATCATGGGTGTGGTGGGAGGGGTATTTCTAAAACTGGTGAACTTTCCCCATTGCAAGTTCGCCCCCTGTTGCATATTGGTCTCCAAAATATCCTGATTTCAACAGAGAATTAATACCTTCTTTGGTAGGGAAACGAGTGAAAATATTTTCGGGGCGAACTGGTAAAGGTGTGGGCTACTTGTTTTACCTTATAGGGCGAACTCACAAAGGTGGTTGTGGGCGAACTTGCAATGGGGCGCATTCGCTCTTGACAGCTCGCCCGCAGGCTAAAGCAGAGATGCTGTCTCAAGTTTCGGCGTTTGTTTTTGCTCTATTTTAGCTTCAGCATCGCAATACTTTTAAACGATAACGGGCATATACAGACTTCTGACGCTCAAGACGATTTCTCTGAGCTACTTTAGCTTAAAACACGGCTAGAAGTAAAAATGTTAGACCTGAAAACTTCGAAAGAAATGCGATACTAAAGGCTGACGAGATTCCGAGATCGGAAAACCGCGTGATTTTTTCAAGGTAACATTCCCCAACTGCATGTTTTACTTTCCGAATATTTACTGAAATGTTAAAATTTATTATTCTGAGATGTAAAGAACAAGAATTATAGTCATAAGTTCCAAATGTTTATCTAAGTCTTGTAATCCATTATACTTTAATTTTTTTTTACCTCAATTCCGTGGGCTATTTGGTCACGCAGAGATGAATCTTTTTCAAATTGTTCCTAGATATTGACTTATTTATTCATTACGATACAATAATCTGCAACTTATAGGCTAAGATTGCATAGTTATCTTCTAATAATGAAAATAATACCAAGAATGATAGCAATAACGATGAAAAGATTACAAAAGTTGACGATTTGGGGCGGGTTAACCTAATCCTCTCAGTCTTATCCGTGTGATTAAAATTCCTGTTTTCCACGCAAATTAAGCTTCACAAATATTATTTGTTATCCTTTTCTCAAGTAGGAGGCGTTTTAGTGTTTTTTTTTTTTTTTTTTTTTTTTTTTTTTTTTTTTGCAGACAGCCGCTATGACATTTGTCTGGAGGCGTACAAAGATCACGTCTGCTCTGAGCGTTAATAAGCTTTAATAAAGCTGCGACATCGTGTTATGAAACGACCGCTGTACTACCGGCTGCTACTACGGTTTACGCTGCGATAGGGTTTACGTAACGGTGTGTCTTGAAAGATATGAAAGGAAGCAGTTTTTCGGGGAAAAAATTAACAAAACGTAGATTAATTTTGTGCGTTAATACTTAGCCACGTAAATTACAAAAAACTTCATAATTTTTTCAGTCTAATGGGTGAAAGGGCCGTTTGCGTGCCAAACCACGACACGGGCGGTTTCAAGTCAGGGCGTACTTGTTTCCGAGATAAATATAGCTTCTTCTTAGAAAATTCTAGAATAAACAGAAGGAAAGACCTGTACTTCTTCCCGTCTCAAAAAATGGTTTTAGTTCGGCACCGTAACGTACTTATCAGATTAGGCACTTTTTGTTTCGATGTTTCCGATTACATGTTCTCGAACACTTCTTGTCACGGGACGAATTGCTCGAATGTCACGCATCGCTTATTGACCGCATAGAACCGAAAGACAGAATTGATGCAAATAATACTGGACTATTTTGGATCATCTTTTGCCTATAATGAAGAAAAAAAATCAATCTTCGAAAAAGAAAAAATTAAACTTTGCGCGAACTAGAATCCCACCTCAAGAAACACAAAGATCTATTTTTGGATAACACGTGCGATCGACGTGTAAACTGAGGTCAGCGGTTAAGAATAGCAGAACCCCCCCAAACAGCTCACGAACGGGTAGTCGCTGGCTGATCCTTCGTTCTATACACTGTTGGGAGTATTCGAAGCACACATCAAGGGACAGTGTTCTCTATAAGTGAAAGGTGGGCTATTTAACACGATTACACCTGAAGGAAGGCTTAGAATATTAGATCGGGGTCTCATTGACGAAAAGTGCAACGTGAATCAAACTTGAAAATGGCGGCCATTTGTTAAAAGTATTTTTAGGGTTACAGAAGCGTTATGTGCTCTTATTTTAGTGTTTGCCCATCGCTCATTCTATCAATTAGACCTTAATGTGTTAAACTGGTGATATGTATTGTATTATGGGATTCGTTGTGTTAATTTTGAAGAGATTCCGATATCATGTCTCCCCTTCATTTATTACATTACACTCTCAACTCGCTGGTTTTATTCGATTGTATTAATTTTGAAGAGATTCCAATATCATGTCCCCATCATTTCTTACATTATGCTCTCAGTTCGCTAGTTTTATTTGATTGGCTGAGCCTGAGGAGACTTGGAAAGTCGGGTAGTTTTGTTTCTTGCTTGGTTGAATGTTTCTTGAAAGATTCAATCAAGTTTTTCTGTGCATGTGAATTAAGAAACATTTTTAGTTGATCTTTTGACACATAGCAGATCAAGACTAGACCATCTATACACAAACAAGAGACATGAGATGTTAATGTCAACAATAACATTGCTATAAATGGTAAATTTATGAACTTTATCTGCGCAAATTCTAAAAGCTGTAGAAATGTCAGTCACTGTTACTGAAAAGGCCCTTTTTGGGACTACTCTCACAGGAAAAGGTCTATGGTTCATATTCCAAGGGGAATAAATTAATTAGGTCCAGGCCTACAAGCAGCACCTGGCTAGATGTTGACAGATATTTGGTTGACATTTGATTACTCGTTTTATTTTTTTGGTCAATTGTTCCACCCTCCCACCCTGAGGGCTTTCCTAGGGCCCTCAGAGCCTCTTGTTTCTTCTTTAGATATTTTTTTTGGCTGTCTTGCAAGAGTGAGGTGTGACGGGGGATAATTATCATCTAGTACTCGTGTGTTTCAAATGAATTATTGTATGGTGAGATAAATTGGTTCTATCAGCTGAGCTGATAATATAAATTGACCAAGTGTAAATGTTAAGATTTTCTAATGCTGATATTTTCAGTGTTGAATAGTGGATTATGTATGGTTTATTTGCAGAAAAAATGAAGCTATGCTATTGCTGGGAACATTGTTACCTGTGTTTTTCATGCTACCATGTTCCCACCAATAACATAGCTCCATTTTTCTGTATACAAACCACAACGCCTTCAATTCTTCTCTTTGCTTTGACAAAGGGCTAACACTGAAAACGTCAGCTTTAGAAATTCTTTAGCGTGTCCAAGTTACATCATCAAGTCAGTTGATAAAACCAAGTTATCTTGTAATACCACCACCAACGCAGCACCACAGTTTCTTTAGAAACTTATTCCCTTTATTGTATGGTGAGATTGTCCTGGTGAGATTTTAAAAGATCATATGGTATTGCCTGTGATTGACTCCTCAACAGCGAGACATTGACCTGGTCATTTAATAAGAACCATTCAGATGATTGAAACATCAGCCAATAAACCCTTCGACCCCTTAAGAGTGACTAGCATCTAATTTCTCCTTACAATATCACCACTGAGTCACACATAAAGGTCATGAGAATAAAGGAAATGATCACCAACTAAAGAAGCTGTGGATTGTTAAACAAATTCTCCTTGTCCGCACCTTTGGAAATGTATAGAGAACAGTATGGAGAATATGCATACTGATGTTAGGGGTGAAGGGCCAAAGGCCATTCCAGGACTTCTATCACTGAGAAAATCACACTATATCAGCCCCTCTGGTGGCCCCTGGCCCCTTACTTTTGCTCTTGGGCAACTCAGGAATCTTAGTTTTTAAATAAAAAGCACAAGCTGGGCACCTTGGATTTCATGGTTTCAGAGCACTGGGCTCCATTCAATTTTTCTTAGAGCACAGCTTTGTATATGATGAAGAACTTAAAGATAGGTGCAGAAGATTAGATTAGATCAAGAATATGTGCCTGGAAAAGTTAAAGCTAATTTTTTCTTAGAGATGTAGAAACTGCAATATGACTAATTTGTCTCTACAACCTTTTTCCCTAGATTGATGATTTGAGATGGCAGCAATACGGAAAAAACTGGTGATTGTGGGCGATGGTGCCTGTGGGAAGACCTGCTTACTTATTGTGTTCTCTAAAGATGAGTTCCCAGAAGTGTATGTGCCAACAGTGTTTGAAAATTATGTGGCTGACATTGAAGTTGACGGCAAGACAGTAGAGCTGGCATTATGGGATACAGCGGGACAAGAAGACTACGATAGGCTACGACCACTGTCTTATCCCGACACTGATGTTATCTTGATGTGCTTCTCCATTGATAGTCCTGACAGTTTGGAGAACATCCCTGAAAAATGGACTCCTGAAGTCAAGCATTTCTGTCCAAATGTTCCAATAATTTTGGTTGGTAATAAGAGAGATCTCAGAGATGATGAACATGTCAAGAAAGAATTGGCAAAGATGAAGCAAGAGCCGGTCAAACATGAGGAAGGAACTCAAATGTGTGAAAAGATCAATGGGTATGCATACTTAGAGTGCTCAGCGAAAACTAAGGATGGCGTGATAGCTGTGTTTAGAACAGCTACAAAAGCTGCCCTTGATACCAAGGCAAAGAAGAAGAAAGTGAAATGCATCATAGTTTGAAATATCTAGTGAGCCAGTTCATCTGACTCTTATCAAAATCTCACCATTTGATTATAGAGTTAAAGTTTCTTGCTTGAAAGAAGAGTAATATTTTTGATGGATCAAAAAGTTTCCTAGATATGATTGGTGAATTTAGATCCAATCTGTTTGTTTGTAGTTCATGGTTGTCAATCACTGTGATTGATATCCGGATAGAATGTAATTATAAGTTTGTCGACAACTTAAGAATTTGCATGTTAATCTAACGATACAGCAGGTGAAACTAAAGAGATTTAATTATAATCGCATTTTATGAATTATTTTTCCTTCAGGTGAATGATACGATGTATTTATAACATTTTTTTTGCATTCATGCCTTTACTTTTATCTATAAGCAATTATAAGTAGATTTATGAAACAATATTTGCCATGATTGTATTAATAAAATAGCTTTTAGTCATTAAAAAAATATTTGTTCTGCTTATTTAATGCAAACCCAATAAAAAGCTGAATACAGTCAGTTTTCGTGGAATGCTATGATGCTTTCTTTCACCAAAATTTTATATCTGCACCATGTGGGGGAAAGAGGCAGCTGTAAATGTAGTATTTCTGTCTTTCACTTTTGCAACTATCAGTTGCTTTAACTAAAGGTAATTGTGTTAACCAGTATGCCATTTTTTCTCTTCCTAAAGGCTTTTGTTTTATTTGACCTTGATAACTGAAGTCTGATTTAATTTTTTTGGGATGAAAATCAGCATATTCCTGCAAAGGAAAAGGGCATGATCATTTTAACTTCAGAAGTTCACAATACATTTCTATGAGAACAACATGCGTGAGGGATGTATTTGTCTTAAAACTGCAGAATGATATATCTGATTTGATTTTTTGATCGACCCTTTGCATCACAACATTAGTATGCATATTCTCCATACAAATCTCCATAAATTTCCTAAGATGGTGACCAGGAGAATTTCTTTCACAATCAGATGGTGATCATTTCCTTCATTCTCATTACCTTAATGTGTGATTCAGGGGTGCGTGTGATTCAGGGGTGCGTGTGATTCAGGGGTGCGTGTGATTCAAGGGTGGGTGTGATTCAGGGGTGATATCTTAATCAGATGTTAGCCATCCTTAGGGGCTGAAAGGCCAATATCTAGGCCTGCTGTAATTGGCTATGCTGTTGAGGTGTCCCTGCCTGGGCCGTAGCTAGCATGAGGCAAGACGAGGCAATTGCTTTGTCTTGATTTTGGCCTTTTCCTTTTTTTTTTTTGCACCAGTATCGCTCGGCAGTAAAAAAGTGAACTTCCACACTTGCCTAAGATTGACTTTTCTAAAGTTAAAGTGCCACGGAAAATGCTTGAAAGAGCATTTCTGAGCCTCTAGATTTCAAAATTTTCTGGGGGAGGCATGCCAGACCCAAAACTTGCCTTGTCTTGTTTTGAAGTCTGGCTATGGCCCTGGTCCCTGCAATTTGTTTTTCTTTTTTTATTTTGAGTGTTGTTGTTTGGCGAAGTTGAGAAATAAATAAATAAACATTTTTATGATAAACAGAATATTACATGGCCATCAGGGGATGCCTATATGCTCTTGTGTTTCAATCTTGGAATTGTGAAGACAAGTGAAATAAAGGGGTAACGATGCAATGTGGGTACCAGTGGTGGTGGTAATAAAACTTCCTTTTTTCTTTTGCCACTTCTACCTTTTTACTCACCATTTTATTGCTTGTCTTGGCTGATGTTAAGTCTGGCATGGGTTACTGATGGTTTAACTTACATATTCCAACCCAGTCATGTTGTATTCTGTACCAAAAGTGGGAAACGCATTTGTTTGCAAATAAAGTCAAACGACAATTCTGTTTGAAGAAGATGCCAGCTGTTTAATAATAATTACTTTTGTTTAAAATATAAACAGTATGAATGTAATTTTGTATTGAACATGCTCTTTATTAGAACAGAGTTGTCCTACTTATGTTGTACTTGTTGTATACTGAGTTAATAAAGATGAGCATAGGTGTTATGTTCATAAAAGTTCTGTTATCTCAATGTCAGTGTGTCTATGTAAACCGGTAAGTCTATTCTATGCTGTCAATCAATGGAGAAAACTGAGATATACAGTGAATGATGTTGTGGTTTTTAAAGCAAACCAGCAATGGCACTTGTAAAAAATTCCCTTCACTTTTGTTGTCTCCTCTGAAAGAGAAGGGCAAAGGTAATCTTGAACTTTACATTGTCTGGAATCACATTGCATACTAATGTGCCAAACTTGTGTTGGAATATTGTAATTTTAGACTGAATGTCCAATCTTAAATTTCTTGTTACATGACCCAATTTGTATTCTGATCAGACATTGTAATGGCTAGTTTTAGGTTTGAGTGTCCCGATACTTCTTTGTAGTTCATGGAAAACAAAACATGCAGCTAAAGGCAGCTAGTACCATTTTTATTGACTTGTTATTAGCATATTGTGAGACAAACTCTTCCATTCTTGCATGTACGTGCAGTAGAAGAGTTGCCATGCAGTTTATCCATGCATGCATGCATTTTACCAAGCAGGGGTGTTAAAACGTGATTTTATCCAGCAGTATACCGTATTGTTATTTAATACCCTCAGTTAAGCTTAACATACCTTAAGTCTAGTGCTGAAGGGTATTTAGCTCATACAATTATAATTTAGATTTGTGGTTAAGCTGGTATTTAAAATAAAATAGAAGCCCAACAGCTGACTTTGAAAAAATCTTTGCAACCCTTAAGCACACAAGATCTGTTTGTTAAGTCTTCCCCCTTGTTGCTTCACTTTTTCCTGTCCTGTTTTTAACTTCCTGTTACAAGAATTTGGTGTTAAATTAAGTTAACAACTTCTACCTGATAATTTTGAGTATTCTCATTCCCTGTTTGCTGGGTTGACTGTGGATGTTATGGGGAGAAGTTACATCTTCATCACTTATGGGAGTGAAAGGCTTAAGTAACTGGAGATGATGGTCATAATCTCTTTAGTAATGCTATTATTTTCATAGGAAATACTTGCTAAATTTCTCATAAGAACTTGAGACTTACTTTGATGACAAATAGTTTTAAAATTGTTTAAGGCTATTGTAATGTCTACCATTAAAATGTTGGGGGTGATTAAACATAAGAATCTAATGTGTTTAAGTGTTTGAAATAATTTTGCCAATGGTAGATCTATTAATTCATTGTAAATAAGTAAAACAACTTGAAAAATCACTTTTAAGGTAAATGTGTCACTTAAGTAGAAGGAAATTATGGGATGGGGGGGGAATTGAGACAAACATTCAAAAGGTGAAGCTCGTTTATTAAGGACACCAAGGAAATGCTAATCAAAAACTCAGGTTAATGGGACGTGAAGGCATTTACATTCCTCTCATCAAAGCATTCAAGCAGGTTAATCAGTTTTTTAAAGTACAAAGCAAAAGGTCAGGTTTGTGCTTTTTTTTCTTCAACCCTTCAACTCTAGAGGATCTGACTTTAGACTCTCTCTTCTTCCTGCTGCACATGCAAGTTGTAGATTAATTATGAGAATTTGGTGTTAGATCAAAATAACAAATTCTACTTTAAAAGTTTGAGTATTCTCATTAACTGTTGGCTGGATTTGTTTGGACACTATAGGGAGAATTTATATGTTTATCACCTTTGAGAGAAGTGATTTGGAGGGTGAAGGTATAGTTGCATGCTGGGTACAATTTTGAGCTAGGAGAGCTTATCTTGGCTTTACTCCTAATTGAACCTTCACGTTGTTGCATTAATTTGCACGCACTACCAACCGACTAAGTCCGAGTGAAAAATGAACATTATAAACCCAGATGTGAAAGAAACCAAACAGTACTAGTCAGGAAGGATAACAAAAAATATCTCAAACAGGAAAGAAACAACCGAAAGAGATGGTGAATATTTTCAGGGATTGCGTAGGACAATCTTTTCTTACTTCCAAGGATAAATTTTCGAAATGCGCGCGTCAGGTAGCTAATTCCTAATAAAACTTGCTCTTAGGAGTAAAAGTAAAAAACTTCGCAAAACAAAAGCTTTAAAATATAAATAATTTAATTCCCTTTTGCCTCAACAGCTAGTCGTCTTAGCATCATTCGTTCCTTGTTGTTTCAAAGACCGTTGTTGAACATAAAGCTTTGCCTTTGTATCAGTTTTCCACCCACTATAATTCTAGAGACATTTTAATTATTTGAAAAATTTAAATACATAGGCGCTCACCAGGGGCCAGTGCTTCGCGTGGTTTAAAACACAACCCCCACCGTACTGTTTGGTAAACGAAGTTTCCATGGCGAACTTTCGGGCCCGACATGAGATAGCGACTTCTATGAAGCTTGAAATAAAAAAAAGCCTTGAATATACTGTTGAGAGGTTGAACGCTGGACTACAAATGCGCATTCCCCTGCAACGAATTTCAAGTACATTGAAAGGTAGAAATAATCGTGACAGACTGATCAACCGATAGTTACAGTTGCGTGACATACGCAAAAACGGTGACGTCTGCCGAAGATGCGGTAAACGTTATCGTTGTTTTCATGATTTAAGTTTCGAATTGACGCAGCATTTTTTATCAGTGAAGTTAAACGCACATTCCTCAAGAAAAACTTGTTTCAACAAAGAATGAACGATCTGAAATGCGTCATTGCGTATCCTGATTGTCACGCCACCGGAAATGAAGAACAAGCAAATTTTTCGGATGAAAAATTTGAATAAACGAGATGTATTTGAGGTCGATTCAAGAAAATTATTTGTATGGTAAAACAAATGGCAAAGTTTTTTAAATTTCTTCATTTTCATGAGTTCACCCCGTTTACCGTCGGAGAGATTGCTGCAGAATTACGTGTGAAACCAATTTCTCTGGATTTATATAGGAGGCTATTCTTAGTACAAGACGCTGTCCAATGAAATGGTCCGTTATAAGTACATACGAAACATGGTATGCCAAGAATGTCGTTGAGGCTTTAGACTAAAACTTCAATTATAATTAGCAACATGAAATCATTTAGCTATGTGGAACCTTTGCAGACTGTATGATTGGATGACACAAGTATCTTTCGTTGCGATTAACCGATGAAAATCCATTCAGTTTGGTCGAGCATATGTGTATATATGGCTGGCCTAGAATAAAACACAGAACACGATTGGACAGATTCATTGAGGTGTAAAATCGATTGTATTTCGACCAATCAGAGCTGAGGTTAAGCCCATGGGATTTACCGCAATGAGGTTTCAGGTCAGCGGCGAGAAATACCTGAATCCCCCTATAGGATAAATTGAAGGTGTGGCTTGACTGCTTCGTGATCGACTCTCGGCCATTTCCTGATTTCTGAAGTTGTCGGTTCTGGCTCATAGCAAGGGATAGTTCACTTGGTTTTGGAAAGGTAGGTTTTAAAATACTAATTATTGAACTCTTTAGGATTGGAGATCGTATGCTGGTTGATCGATTGGGATGTTCATGGAGTCAAAAGTATGCTCGGTTAGTCAGAATGCTTGCGACTCCCACTGACCAAGAGAGCAAATTCTTTACAATGTAATTTCCCAATCCATCCCTCGTTCAACCCGTAAATCAGCCCAAAGATTGTCACTCTTTGGATTTTCTCAACGTATTTCTTTTACTCCACCTCCGATTTTTGGCTATTTCGTTCTCGTATCGCACCTTTTACGACGCCTGTTACAAATGTGTTTTTGCTACAGCTATTTGCAAGGGTGTTCTGCTTCAGCGCTGCGATTTCTAACTACTGTTCAGTTGTTTTTAGAATTTTCTCTTCCGATCTTCTTCAGATTTAATCCGTTACTAGCTAAAGTGCCTGACTTTACTTGATATGAGAAGATTATGAGTTTGTGTTGAATATTTTCAACAATTACAATCGTATTGTTTGGCGCTTTCGATGGATCAGGGGTCAGAAACTTTCAAAGTTCGAACCGGCGAATTTTAGAATTGGCCCTTTCGCCCTTTGAGTTGCAGCCTTAAACCTACACAATGAAAATTTTTCGATTTTGGTCAGTACTATTCTTTAAAATTTCGTCCCTCGAGAATCTTAGCTTCTTTTAAACGACTCGATTTGTGTTCACTTAATATCATTCGAGCGTATTGTGGGTAGATCAATTTCGAAAAACAAGAATTTATTGAATTACTCGGGAACACCTTGATTTTGGGGTGAAAAATAAGTCCACTTTAAATGAGTGAGCCACGTTTCGTTCGCCTTCCCTTTACCTCCTCGTTTGAAAGGAGTGAAAGTGTTCAAGAAACATATTCGTTAAGTGTTATATTCGTTTATTTAAATTTTGGTAATTCGCATTCTCTAACAAACTGCCTCAAAATGCTACTTAATAAAGTTATTTTGTAAGGAAAGCATTTTCAGATGAAGTGGCGATATGGTGTTCCTTTTGGAAGCTAACACGACCCAAGTTGACTTTAGTAAATACTAGAAAGTATTTGATATTTGCCGCTAAAAGTTGATTTATTAGTGCCGCGTTATGTAACTTTTTTGATAGTTAGAGCATACTTTCTGGTCTCTCAGTGATAAGATTAATTATCTTAAGACAAATGCACTGTCTGCCATTTTATAACAAAAAAATTAAGTGTTAAAATTGTCATGGTTGTTATTGGATATGCTCCAGGAAAAATATCTCAAAGTATCTCTTTGGAAAATAGAAGCAATTAGATAAAATTAAGGGATCCAATTTTATTGGTGTAGTAAATTAACTCTTAATGTTCAAATCATCGCTTCAGTTGCTATTAAAAAATCTTTGCAAGAGCATGCACTATACATCTAAACAAGTTAAGTTGATCAATTACCGAGTTGATCAACTCGTCCACTTGTATACTAAGAAAGTGTACCTCGAGAATTGTTTCATGAAAAAGAACTGCAAGGAACAAGAGAATTGTTTTGCGAGCTGCCTGTTACAGTTTAATGAAGATTGCAAACATCACTTGGCTACCGTCATCCTCTGGCCTTCGTGCTTCCAAAAGGTAAGTGTGTTAGCTAGATTAACCTGGATTGTCCCTATGTATTATGTATATTTACAACATGTTTACTTGAAATCATCTTTCATGGGATGAATTTTTATTGGGATATGTATATTTTTGTTTTACTCGCACCCACAATAACTTTTCATCTGTGATTTTTTTCGGGGCATATTTCAAGAGAATTCCATTTCATTGCATATAATTTCCGAGTGCATCTATTTGTCATGCAATTTTTTGTTTAGATCAGACAAGAAATGTTTTGTACATAAAAAATGCTTAGCTGGTGTAGAGTGATATGTTACAATGAACAGCCAAGAGTGCCAAAATCTTGTATACTTTTGATCATTGCTATTTGTTTGGATTTGTATGTAAGTGTGGGATGCAAATTAGTCTTTTGAAAGCTTGATATTTGTTAGAGAGATGTTTGGACATGGTGAAAAACCTGGAAAGATAGCATGCCAAAACTACTTGCTGAATCTGTCTATACCATTATTTTCAGAGACTTCTGGTTATTGGAACAAAATGGATAGGTGCTTTATGAAGTAAATACCGCAATAGCTGTGAAAGAACAAGAACATGTTTTCTATTTTTAATCTTTATGAAAGTTGTGCTTATCATCTTCAATGATCTATAAGCAAGAAAATTGCCATCAGCTGCATTTCAGATCTATTTTGTAGCTAGACATATCAAAGGTGGGGCAAGAAGTTTTGTCAGGATAGCCAAATCTTGTGAAGTGTTTTCCACAAAAGTAGAAACAAAAAAGTACATTGAATGTAGAAAGTGTAAATTTTGTTTGAAGTGCAGTTCTAAGTGAAACACTGTATGGTTAGACTTTCCTGCTTCATTGAGGTTTCATTTAAAGTCTGAAGAAAACAGAGAGAAATTAGGGTGTAGTTGACAAGTTATTCTCAAATCTGCAATGTTTGCAAGCTCTGAAACAGTTGTGATAACATGAAATAAGCCAAGGACTTGAAGAGAAGAATGTTTGAGGAAGTACTGTGTGAAGTAGCAAAAAGTGTTTCTCTTTACATAAGGAATGTGATTTAGTTATTGTTTTCTTTTTGTTAGTGTCAGTGTACAATTAATTAGTCAAGTATTATCTCTGAATTTTCTTTATTTTCCTTGATGTCTCTGAAATTTGAATCGGTTTCTTAGTAACCAATAAAGAAACAAGTTGTAAATTTGATACTCTGCTTTTTATTTTCTGTTGAGTATTGGCTTAGAAATCGTTTTGAGTCTAAATCAATCCTTTAGTTTCTTTATGAATGTTCTAAGTTTAGTCGTCATTAAAGTAATTTTAACAGTGGCTCACTTTTAACATTGCTAAAATTATTGAACTATCTAAATCATCCTGGGATAATTTAGACAAAGAATTTGTTTTAAAACTTCCATTTACAGGATTAAATTTTCATTCTGTGGGGTTAACAGCATTTTGTTAGGGTGTTTTATGGTTGTATTTAAATGCAAATGTTAATATTGAATTTCTCAAACTTGACTTCTTAGATTGATAAATTGCCATGACAGCCCTTAGGAAGAAGTTGGTTATTGTGGGTGATGGTGCTTGTGGAAAAACTTGCCTCCTCATTGTGTTTTCCAAGGATCAATTCCCTGAAGTGTACGTGCCAACAGTTTTTGAAAATTATGTGGCTGACATTGAAGTTGATGGCAAGACAGTAGAGCTTGCATTATGGGATACAGCAGGACAAGAAGACTACGATAGGCTACGACCCCTGTCTTATCCCGACACTGATGTTATCCTGATGTGCTTCTCCATTGATAGTCCAGACAGTTTAGAGAATATCCCCGAAAAATGGACTCCTGAAGTAAGGCACTTCTGCCCAAATGTACCTATTGTTTTGGTTGGTAACAAGAAAGATCTGAGAAATGATGATAACACAAAGAGAGAATTAGCCAAGATGAAACAAGAGCCGGTAAAAGCTGATGAAGGAGAATCAGTTTGTGTAAAAATAGGAGGCTATGCTTACCTGGAGTGCTCTGCTAAAACAAAGGAGGGTGTTCGAGATGTGTTCAAAACAGCTACCTATGCTGCTTTGGAGAAAAAGGGACGGAAGAAAAAGGGAAAATGCTGCATATTGTAAATTTTGGACCATGTTACCTGGAGCTTTGCTGATTTTTCCATCCTTATGTTGATCAAGATAATAATCAGAATGAAAAAAAAAAAAACACCTATATCAGCTTCAATTTTTTTGTTCAAGCTTAAGTGTAATGTCAGATTATTTTTTATCAATTGCAAAATTTGGTTTGCCTCTTTGCACAAATACTCTAAGGGAGCTTGTGCCGGTCAACCAACCTCTGAGATGCAATGCTGAAATTTATCACAACTTTTTCCAAACTTTCTCTCCCCAACTCTACCCCGTGTCGGGTTGTTATGAGACTAGCTTTCGTATTGGAAGTGTGTCCATGTATTGGTCAAATAAAAATTGCCTTGTTGCACGTAAGCTCTGAACCCTCAAAACTCCTAGAGTGACTCTCACGAAACTTCTAATTCTAATCTGTGATCTTGAAAACAAGTTATGAGAATTTGTAATCTTATCAGCTAAATGGTGTAGTTGGCTCTTTTGTCTTATTACAATGAAGGGTATGGCTATTATTTTGGAGAATTAATTATTGGATTTAGGAGGTAAGGGTGTAACAAGGTGTCGTATATTTTGTTTTTTTTTTTTTTTTTTTTTTTTTTTTTTTTTTTTGCTTTTTTTGCTTCAGGTAAGAGAATAGGTGATTAAATGTCCTCTCTTTCTCTCTCACATGAGGTAATAGTTCAATTTGTGGAATATTAAAAATGCAAAGCCCTGGTGGTGACGTGAAAATCTAGTAAATAGAAAAATGTATAAAGAACTTTTTCTTTACTGGCTAGTTTATTGTTTGACTATTTGTGTGTTTTTTTGCAGTACATATTAGGTTAGAAAAGTACTTGTCACTTGTAACTGAATACATAAGTGCTGATTTTATCCCTTCCATTTTATGTCCTAGATCCTTAAAATTGTAATGTCACGAATTGTGTATAGCTAAAAGTAGAATTTGTCTGATAATTTCTGATGAAATGGTATGTCACTTAAATTTCAATTGGTAAACTTCAGTGACCCATCATATTGTAACATTTTGTGAAATTTCTAAGCTTCTCCAAGTCAAGGCCAGAATGAAAAAGGGTTTTTGAGAGAATGGGACAAGTGCGAGAACTGCGGTCAGTAACCAAAGAGTTGAACTATTTGAAGAGGTCTTTGTGTATGTAATATGCAGTGTATTGCATTGTAGTTGATTAAGGTTGTAATTCATGAATGTAGATGTTCTCTAATATTTGACAAGTAAAATAAAGTAAACTTATTTTGGGACTGCTTGATTTGAGTTGAAGTTAGTGTTAATTGATTTTCCCCTTTAAATTTTTTAACCATCAGGGAATGTGAAACAAGAGAAACCCAAATGGTTAGTTTATAAATTCAATACCTATTGGGAATTAACTGTAAGGATTCAGTTTAGCACTCAGTGTGTCAATTTATTTCTGGTATCTCAAGTGAGGGTGCTTATTTCTTTTGGGAAACGTAGCAGGTGTGAGACAAAGCTTAGGTGGTTATTTACAAGGAGCTGCAGTAAGCCATTTAAGGATGATGAAATGTTCTCAATTTATACATCATCTAACAATGCTATGGGGGAAATAGAAAAGGGGCACTTTTGGAATGAGGGTGCTTATTAGAATAAGGGGGCTTATCAACAAAAAAAATTGAGGGAAGGGCTTCCTAGAGAGAAGGCATTTAATGGAGCAAGGGTGCCAAATTGAATCATTTGAGCACTATAGCACCATGAATTCTATCCCACAGAAGCACCACTGAGATTCTTACACCAGAAATCATGTGCTGCAGTTCTCTCAGAAGCATATTAACCTTGGGCAGAGTGTAATTAAAATTTGGAAATAGCACACACAGAAGCAAGGGAAATCAGAGACTGACCAGCATTTACGAATTACCCAATTTTTTTTGTTTTGGAACTCTTTTGCTTTTATTGTTGAGAAAAGAAATACTGTTCATTCCTTATTTGTTACAAGTTTCAACAGGGTTAAATAGAAATGTAGTTTTGAAGGCAACACATGGGCTGCCCTATCCCCTCTGAGGTTCCTAATGCAGGTTTCTAAACTCCACACGAAACACTGTAATGTTCAGTTGAATTGTTTGGTAAAACATTTGACCATTAACTTTGACTTGAAAAGGTACCATCTAGTTTATGGCGTCCTCATTACAGCTCTCAGTTAAGCGTACTAATTATTGGTAACTGCTATGTTTGTTACAGTAAGGAACCAGTCAATGTTGCCTAGTGATGGAAAAGTAGAATCTGCCAACAGTTACTTTACGCAAAGACTATTTAAGCTTTTCTCGCAGTATTTGCCTGCATATTTGTATCAGTTTGTGTACTAGCAAATTTTCTCAGTTTTTATTTCATTAAAAAGGGGACGTTAATTAAATTTAGAGCAACTTTTGTCTCTCCACAGTTTAAGGAATAGTCATGACAGCCATTAGGAAGAAGTTGGTTATTGTGGGTGATGGTGCTTGTGGAAAAACTTGCCTCCTCATTGTATTTTCCAAAGATCAGTTCCCTGAAGTGTATGTGCCAACAGTTTTTGAAAATTATGTGGCTGACATTGAAGTTGATGGCAAGACAGTAGAGCTTGCATTATGGGATACAGCGGGACAAGAAGACTACGATAGGCTACGACCCCTATCTTATCCCGACACTGATGTTATCCTGATGTGCTTCTCCATTGATAGTCCTGACAGTTTAGAGAATATCCCCGAAAAATGGACTCCTGAAGTGAGGCACTTCTGCCCAAATGTACCAATCATTTTGGTTGGTAACAAGAAAGATCTGAGAAATGATGATAACACAAAGAGAGAATTAGCCAAGATGAAACAAGAGCCCGTCAAAAGTGAAGAAGGGGCAACGATTTGTGAAAAAATCAATGGTTATGCCTATTTGGAATGCTCTGCCAAAACTAAGGAAGGTGTTAGAGATGTGTTTAAGATGGCTACCAAAGCTGCACTGGAAACAAAGAAAAGGAGAAGAAAAAGGGGCCTATGCAGTATACTGTAAAATGAAAAGCTTGTTGCCCTGCTCTGCTTCAATATGATATGCTTAAAGTTGACTGACTAACTTGATAAACATTTCCCATCCTCTTTGGAGAGGACTATCTGATGAGAAAATTTCTTTCTGGAACAGAAAGGATGCTTCTGTAGTTATTGTTATTAACTTGAATTATTATTAGTATAAAATTTGTTAAAAACCATGCACACTTGTTCAACACATGTGGCATATTTTCAGCAATGAGATTATGCATCCTTGTATTCAATTCTCTTTAAGGTGGCTCTGCTGTAGTAACTAAGGATACAGAGCCTTGTGGTGACATGATATGTTTATTATTTGACAAGTGTATAATAGAAACTTGCTGCTCTCATTGAAGTAAATGAACCCTATTGGCTAATTGTGTTTTCTTAAATTTTTATTGCCTTTGTGTGACATGATTACATGGTACACTGCTTTATGGTTCTGGTTGTACAGTAGAGTGGCCAAAAACTTTGAATCAAACCTGCAAAACAGAACTTGACCTAAAACAGCTGAGTTTTAGTGCCATACAATCATGTCATAGCAAGGTTCTGTTGCATTCATCTGATAAAAAGAAAACAATTTTGATATTATGTATTAGTGATTTTCTCTGTAATTGTTAACAACTTTAAATCTGTAGCAGGATAAAAACTGCTATGAGAATGATTAGGATGAATTTTGTAGGATAATTTTTGTATCTGTTTGATGTTCTGCTGCTGAAACTTGAAAGGTTTGAAATATTATCTAATAATACCAGCTTTGTGACAGTAATTACATATTTTTTACTGATATTTCAAACCATTTCACTTGACACTAAAGTCAGGTCCACAAATCTGAAAATACAAAGGTGGAGAATGCTTGAAGGGTCCACTTATGAAGTAATCTAGCCATATCCAAATGACATCTTGCTCAAGCTTCAAAATCTCTGAAAGATTGGGATGATTTTAAAGAGTCCAATTCGATTTGTGTAGGTAATATGCAATGTATTAAAGTGTTGATTTAAAGGCTTCAATTCATGAATGGTGAGAAGCTTTTCAGGTTGACCAGTAAAATATTAAAACTTGTTATTTTGAAACTGTTTCGTAACCATTGTTTGTTGTTCTCAAAGTCTAAAACCCTTCATTTCTTAAAGATTACATCATCAATTCTCCTCACTGTTTGCCAGATATCTCTTTTTAATGTATACCGGGGAATTTGTAGTCAAGTCGAACAGTAACCCCGATGTGATGATTTTGATCATCTTTATGGGAAACGTACTGATATTTTAACTCTTTCACTTCAAGATCTTTTTTGTAATTCTCCTCAGTGTTTGCCATACAGTCCTTGAGATGTTAATTCAGGGGATTGATGTAAGGAGAAAAGCTGTCTTTGTCGCTCATGTGAGGTTAAGAGTAAAAGAAGAAATCTCAGGGAGTGAAAGTGTAAAAGAACAAATACACAGGGGTTAGTCCAAACAGCTCTAGTCTCAAAACCTCCCTACGAGACCTCAGAGAAACAGGTATATACCCTTCGTTATTTCATAATCTATTTTAAGTCACATTTCTCTTTGCCCTGCTGAGAGCTCCACCACACTCAGTTGTATAAGAGGGAACAAGTAAGTTGTCGGGAAAATCAGACAGAATACTGTGAGGGGGGTTAAGCTGTGATGTTATAGCGCCCCACCGGGGAGGAAAAGACATGCTCCTGGTCGCTATGGAAACCTAATATAACTTGCATTCCTAGACGTAATCAAGAAACGATGAACAATAAACTGTGTCAGCTGAGAGACGCTAACTTGATACAGAAACAAATTCTCTTCACTGATTTACAACGAAATGTAATTAAAGCTGCTGTAAGTGGAATTACTGGTCGGATCTAAGGAGTTAAAAGGGGTGAAAAAATTTGTTTCTGAACTTGTCTCGTGATAAAACAGTTGATATGAGTAAACAAACCTGTTAAACCCTTAGGGTGACTCGCATTTATTTTCTCCTAAAAATATCACTGCTGAATCACACTTGAAGTTCCATATGGCAAATGTTATAAACGGTGTGGAGAATATACATGCTGAAGTGAGGGTATGAAGGGTCCATGGAGGGCGTTATATTGATACAATACCAAATTCTCTTCACGTAACCCAGTTGCAGTTTGCACGGAGAACTCTTTGATCGGAAAGTGAACATAACATGGGACAGAGGGGGTGTGGGTGGGGGGGTAGGGTTGAGGGAGACGGAAGAGAAAAAAAGCTTCATCCACCCATTTTACGCTCTTTCGCTTCTCGAAAAAACAAAAAAGCAAAACAAAAACATACAGAATAACCACTGTTAACAGAATAGCCCACATGGCTGTTGCGCAAAGCACGTGCTCATAGACCTCTCTCCACCTCACCCCACCCCCACCCCCACTACTCACGCTTTGTTCTGCGGCTAAGACAGACTCCCCGCTTTTCTCAGTTTTTCGCGTGTGCGATTGCGTCTCCTTGGCTTGAACAAAGCTGGGAGATACAGCTGGTCATGAAGTGTGATCGTCCAGATTATTTGGGTCGGCAGATATTTGGTTTCATTCTTGTTAGCTGCTCTGTTTCCCGTCGATCGTTGAGTTCACCAAGCCATTTGACCAAGCTATCCCGCTACCATTTTTTTTTTTTTTTGCTGAAACACCTACTCAATTTGTTTTTTCATGTTCTTCCCAAATCTACTTTTCCGATCATCATCCGTCGCTCCTCTAAAAAAAACGCTTCCCATCAAATTGTATGATTTAAAAAAATAAGGAAAGTGTTTTTTATAAAGAATGAAGGCTTTTGTAATGATGAAGCCTCGCTATGGAAATTCCCACCAACCTCGTTCGTAGGGTTTTTATTCTCGAGTCTTCGTATTTATCGCCTCATTTACATTTTACAACTTCACGTGGTATGAACTGTTTCTCGACTCTAAAGGAAAGGCTTTTAACGTTTAAACTTGCCTAGAATAGTCGAGCAACTGCTGGTGTTTGTGAACTTGACAAAGACCGAGCTGCAAGTGGCAGCTCGCTGCAAAGTTTTTAAATTTTCCTGAACAAAACTCCAGGTAAGAGTAAGAGATAGTTCAACTTAACAATAAGTTGCTTTTGCGAATCGTCAAAGGTACCGACGGAAATTCTTCGCCTGGCGGTAAATTCCGAACGAACGAGAGCTTGCTTTGAAATATAATTCAAGAGCTTCTTTCGTTGAAGAAGCGTTAAAGTTGTCGAAAATTAACGTAGTTGCAGGACAGAAAGGATCTGAACTGCTTTATAGAGTGAAGGCTTACTGATTACACATCAAATGAACAGAATAATATTCGCTTTAATCCTCTCACGTCCAAGGTCTCATTACTTATTTTCTCTACTATCTGTCACACAACTCTTAATATGTTACTTTGGAGAATTTGGTATCGAATCAACTTATAATCCCCCAATTGATGTTTTTTGTATATTCCCGTCACTTGTCTACTTGGTATTGCCTTGATATTGTAAGGAGAAATTCTGTCTTGATCCGTTCAAGCATGTTAAATCCGGCTGAACAATTCTGACGCAGCCTACGGTACCACAATAATTGAGATTTTTGTTTTTGTCTTTTGTAGTTTAAATTGGCGCTGGACAGGAAATGTCCAAATAAAGCATTGGAGTGGTTAGCAAGCAATACTCTGAGGACACGAGGTAAGCTTCACAATAACGCTTGTGTACACGTGCCTGCTACTTAAAATGCAATCCGTTTTGCATGTGCATGATTCGTGTTCATCAAATGATTACTCAAGCTTCCAAGATTGTTTTGGCTACCGTAACGGCCTTAAATTCTAGCGGTGTACTCCTTTGACAACGAAATCCATCGTTGATTAGAAGTAAACAATAAGCAAATTATTTTTCACGCGCATTTTGCTGTGGGATTATGTCGCCAACAAAAAATGATCAGAATGCGAGGGAAAAAAAAAAAAAAAGAAAACTGGCGCACCCTGGAGGAAAAAATTTGGGCTAGCCTCTTATAAAATACACATTTTCTCTGGAGAAAAATTCAAAGTAGGTTTCCTTATCGTGCGTAATTGATGAAAAAATATTCAGCGATTTGAAATATATTTTTGAAAATCATTTTTTTTGTGTGTCTCAAAGAGTAAATCCGGAAAGAGTTCTGCACAGACCCATTATTTGTTATGCATACAGATCTTGGATATGAAAACAATAGCGAGATTGCCCCTGGGACTACGGCTTTGTTTTCGTATGGTTTAGGGCTCTAAGGAAATCGTTCCAAGACATCCTAATTAAGGGGCCGACCATTTAACTTTTGAGGGGTGGGGGAGTGGGTGATTTCTGGTCATCAAGAAAATTTTTTTCTAGCAATCTGCTGTGCAGGATATTTTTTCTGTTCTAAATGCTCTTTTTTTCTGTTACATTTGGGCTGCATGCGATTTTTTCTTCCAAACAACGCTTGCAGGAATGCAGGAAAATTTTTTTCAAAATCACCCCCCCCCCCCCCTCAAGAGTTAAATGGTCAGCCCCTAAAGTGGCATCGTGTGACACCATCATCGCAGTAGTTTAAGACTTAAAGCTTTGTTTTCGTCAAGTATTTTGCAAAAATGTAAATTGTCCCGACCTAGTAGGGTTTTCCGATTTGGCAGAAGTTCCAGGGAAGTGGTACTCGTAAGTAAAAGCTAAATTAAAGCCAAACTGACTGAGTTAAATAGCTGGCGAAAAATAACTAACAATTCATTCTTAAATGAATATATTACAAGAGCGCGGAAGATATGAGTGAACTACCGCCAAATCGTAAAACCGTACTTGCACATGTTTTTTTTCAGTTTGAGCGATGTAATTATCCACCATTTAAAGACGCGCTAGTTGAATGAAACAAAATTTTGCAGTTTTCAATCGAAAGTATTTTCCGAACGAAAAACGTCCAAAAATAGTTTGCATATATACTGTAGCAAGTGTACTGGGCTTTGTCTAATAATGCATTAACCTGCAATGTGATCAACATCCAATTTCTCCAAATAGTGAAAGTACATTGTCCTACTTTTGGTTTCGCAAGGCGAAAGATTTCTAAATACCCCCATATTATTTTGATTCAACATAATTTGGTTTTAGGAACTTAACAAAACCGCGTTCTCAGAGGCAAACTATTGTTTTCTTTACACAACAACTGTATACATAAGAAACATAGATGTGGGGAAATGTTGTCAGACCAAGTTTTAGAGAACATCTCTTAGCTGGGAGATTGAACTTGATAAGGTATTGAGTTTGGAAAGATTTTCGTTGAGCTCTGTGCTATTCTAGACAAAATTGAAGCCGTACTCCTAAAGGCAATCCATTGCTTGCTTTTCTCCAAGAATCATCCACATAATGAAGTACGAGGGTCATGCAGAAATCTTGCCCTTAGCTCTCTTACAAACTACCAATGGGATTAAGAGAATTGATCTCAGTTTGTTGTATCGTCCTGTACCGTTGAAGAAAAGCACTACGCAACATACCAAGGAGTTAAATTGAATTTACCGGGGTCAAAAACACTCTGGCTAAGCTTATCACGGAAATGTATACAGTGTAACCTTCATATTTGATCAACTATTGATCCCGCAGTCAAGTTAAGTTTTTTCTCATTTTACATGTAAAATGTTCGTTTTCGTCATCTTTCAGCTTTTTAATGTGGAGTACAGCGCGGAGAATGAGGATAAGATTAAACTGAAGAGAACTTAGACATCAGAAGAGGGACGATTGGAAAGTGGTAAATTGATTTAAGAGGTAATAGTAGTTGTAACTTTGCACCGCAATGTACGGTCTTTCAGGAGCTTGTTCAGAATCTCCATTCATCAAAAAGTAGAAAAGAAATCTAAAGGTGGCTGAGTTCAAAACTTAAGTTTGACAGAACAAAGTCGTCTAGTGAGGATTAAAATTTCTTTTCTCACTTGTTCGAGATGCTTAAAGCTATTTGTGCCGTGGTCAATCCGATTTATTTCGAAAATTTAAAATCCAAAGTCTGTTAAGATGCTAAGAGAGACACTAGAAGCAATTTTATCAGAAGTGTAATTCCAAACATAGCCGTGATTTTCTAAGACTTCAACTAGAGTTCAAACTTTTTTCGGAATTTAATTCGTTCGCTGAATAAGATAGTCTCTAGTTAACCTCTCTTTAGAACAGTGATAATGAGTTATTCATTCATGTATTCCAAAAATTCAGACAGACTACACGTCGCTGCCGTTTATAGTCAACTCTGTAATTCCTTCTTCGTTTTTTTTTTCATTCTCATTTAAAATTTTTTTTTACATATCAGTTCCTCTTAATGTTGTATATGTATTCTTAACAAGCCAGTTTATGAATCCACAATTTTACTTCGGTATTTTAGTCTGTGTCAAATTCGTATCGCTTTGTTATTGTTCTTTTTTGCTCGCATTCAGTTTGCCAATTATTGTAAAGTCTTCACTTGTTACTTGCATCAAACAAATAAAACTTTTGAAATAACTTTATTGTCTCTCTCTGTCTTTAACTGAGTTGAAGAACAATTGGAAAAAAATCGCGCTTTGAAAGGGCCTGTTAACTAGTCAAAATTAGGCTGTCTCTTTTCCTTTTTTTTGCGTATGGAGGGTTCCCGAGAGCTGGGAAAAAAATTTCTGCGGATTTCAACAGGGTCTAGTGTTAAAACAAAATATAAACTTGACTTTTGATGAGAGAAAATTAGTTTGCATGGTGCAAGATTTTTTCCCGCCGAAAGACTTAGTATATTTTCTGATCGACACAAGACACAGTTCAAAAGCGCAGACCTTTTTTTCCAGAGACATTTTCCCGCCAAAAGACTTCGGTGTTTTTTTTTCAAATTTTTTTCTGAGCCATTCCAAAAAAATATTTCAACCACCAAATGAATAAATATTTGCCTTTTTCTCTTTGCGGAAATGTGATAGCCCGTTTCAAAAGCGCGAACTTCAATTCCTTGGAAAATATTGTTTGTTTTTTTTTTGGCGTGACAAGTTTCTTTCACGGATGCCTTTACGCCAGAATTGTAATAAACTTTATTTTGAGTAAATAAATTTCTGGAATATCCTGGGATTATCTTTCTTAATTCTTGTGGCGTTGTCTTTGGAACCTAAAAGAAAAAAATATATGATTCGATGACAATTTTTATAGTATACACTGAGCTGTAATAACTGCTGGGTGTTCAATACAATACAATACAATATTCTTTATTTAACGAAGGTGACGTAATTAACCCAATGAGTTATCTAACTTACAGCCTTCACAACAAACCCACCATCCCACCCCAGGGGAGGACATCCATCACACAGTAATCTCGTGTGTGGGAAATTAACGTCTCCTACCCCAACCCTGCAGGAGACGGGACCTCCATTTATTCGTCCCTATCCGAGAAGACTAGAATATCTAACCATTTCTTGATGTTATAGAAAGGTAGCAAATTCTTCTCAATTATTTTAAGACCTTGAGTGTTGGTCCGGCCGGGGCNCCTTTATTCCCTTTCGTTAATTTTTGTATTCTCCATAATGTTTTTTACATATCATCCAAGGTGCTGACAAGGTGAATTTAATTAACAATCAAGAGCCCTTTTAGTTGTTGATCATAGCCTATATTCTCCTGACCTTAATGTGTGATTCAGGGGTGATATTGTAAGGAGAAATTAAATGCTAGTCACTCTTAAGAGGTTAAAGGGTTAAAACAACCATCACAGGCTACGAACACGTTCATAAAATTTTTGTTTTCGTAACATTTCATAAAAAACGCATTTATCTGCACCGATCAGTCTCTTTAATTGCCCTTTCTGTTGTATAATCATCGTAAATCCTGCTTAATAGTATTTTTTTAATGTCTTATTTGGGATCAATCGGTTAATCAAGCGAGCAGAACGCGAAAATTTTTAAAAAGTGCAAAATATAAAAACGTCTTACCTTCATTTAATTTTTTCTTGATTCGTTCTGTGGGGTTTCTATGAAATTAGAGTATTTAGAAGAGAAAAGTAAATGACATTTATAATTACAACATATTATATTAACAAAGATTTAGCAATACATAGATAGGTAAAAACGAGCGATATAATATCCCGACGTTTCGGCGACTTCATGACGCCATTATCAAGGGTACAAATGAAAATAAAATTAACAAATGCGAGTTCAAGAGTTGCAACTAATTTACATAGGGGAGGTAGCTACACAAATACTTTAGCGCGGATATAACCCGCTTGCACGTTCAAACTCGGTGTTAATTGTTTGATGTAAAGCATCTCGTTGACAAGGCAATCGCATTTGTTATGCACTTCTTGAGAACTTTGAAACAGCTAAAAAGGTCCTTAGGGACAGCACCTGCGTGGTCGTTGTCGTAGTGCTTGCGTACTGAAGATGACGTGTTCTTATGGCTATCCACGCGGGCATATAAATGCCCACGTGTGTAACCAACATAGCTCCCTGTATCACACAGGTTACATTTAAATTGGTACACTACACACCGTTGATTAACCAGCTGTGGTTTGGTCTCACATTCTTTAAGGTCTTGGCCAATTTTCCGACTGACAAATACGGGCTGGATTGTGGTTTGGAGCTTAATGCTAAGGTCTTTCAACTGCCTCTTAACAATGTTAGCGGAGTCTTGGTCCTTGAAGGGTATGACTACTCGGGTAACATCATTTTTCGCCAATCTTCCCAACGCCTGCAATGCTGGTCAGCAACTCTCGAGTTGATAAAGGTGTTAATGGCGGAGTTGATAAGGTGGTGAGGGTAGTCCAAACGTGAGAATAAATTCTTCAAGCGCTCACACTCCTCAGAAAAATAAAGCCATGAAGAGGACAAACGGTACGCGCGATCGAGCATAGTTGTTAATAAGTTCCGTTTGTACCGGTTGTCAACGTAACTCTGGTAGTGGACAAGGAAACCAGTATTAGTAGGCTTGACATAAACTTTCGTCTCAATTTGGGGTGCACGGTTAAGGAGCTGGGTGCCAAGAAAGGGGAGCATGCCATCTTTTTCGATTTCCATTGTAAAGCTGCAGAGGGAACCACGCCCATCCCATGCGGGCATTTATATGCCCGCGTGGATAGCCATAAGAGCACGTTATCTTCAGTACGCAAGCACTACAACAACGACCACGCAGGTGCTGTCCCTGAGGACCTTCTTAGCTGTTTCAAAGTTCTCAAGAAGTGCATGAACAAATTTGATTGTCTAGTCAACGAGATGCTTTACATCAAACAATTAAAACCGAGTTTGAACGTGCAAACGGGTTCTATCCGTGCTTAAGTGTCTGTGTAGCTACCTCCCCTACGTAAATCAGTTGTAACTCTTGAACTCGCATTTGTTAATTTTATTTTCATTTGTACCCTTGATAATGGCGTCATGAAGTCGCCGAAACGTCGGGATATTATATCGCTCGTTTTTACCTGTCAATGTACAACATATTATTATACTGTAATAAACATAGTACGCATCGTCAGTTTAGTTTGCAAGCGAATGTTTTATCAGGTTATAGAGCCTGTATGTAACTAGTTCTGTCATAAAAGCAATAAAACGCACTTTTTCCGGCCAACCTCCTTCATAAAAGTAATTTCAAAAGTTAGATTTTTTTATCTCTCGTCAGAATGAAATCATGTTAAAGTCAACACAGGTCCTCGGATCATCCTCTCTTACGTTTCGGCCAGGTTAATAAAAAATCTGATTTTTGAGCAAATATTAGCTGGTAAAGGGGTTATGGAAACTCAGGAAACCCCCTTATCTACGTGCCGGTTAAAAGGGCGGATGCCGTTTAGATCTCTCAAAACTCATCACTTCAAGATTGGAAAGATGTAAAAAATTCTGAAAACCACCAACAATTTCTTCTGATTACTCGACCTACCCCCTTAATATCATAAAAAAAAAAAAACCAATTCGCGTTTCCTTTAAACGTTATGGTCAATCGTAATCATTTATACTTTTCTTTCGTAAAAATTCTCTCTAACAATTCTATTTTAAATAATCGAGTCAATAACAAATGCTCGGATAGGAGTGGTTCTCAACAGTCCTTACTTGTGGCTTAATTGGCTGTTTCAAGTCCAAACTATTTCATTCGTCCGATTACAAACACTTCTGATCGAACAGACCGAATCGGAAAGTTAAGCAGCCACTGAAAATTAAGCGCTATGAGACATTAGCCAATAAAACTTAACTACCAAGTCAACGCTAGCCAATCAAATTGAAGGTGTTAGGTATTTTGAAAAAATATTTAGACTTACACATAGAGTTGAACTTAGCTAAATATGTATATATAGGGAGGATATCTGCCATTAAATTAAATTCCTCATTCCTGAGTCTCTCGCATCTTATAATTGAAACAAACGATAAGTAATCGGCCTTCGTGTCGTATAATACGTCAATTAAAATGATTTATTTCGAGCTAAGAGAATAACAAAATCATGACCACTACGGGAAAAAAGTACTGATGCCCGCGGTCTCCAGCAGTAAAACCACAAAAGGCGGGAAAATGAGCGATGGTTCAACAAATACTTCTCTAACAATTTCTTCTGGTCAAATAAAAGTGAATGAGCGCTTTGCATTCTTCCTACTTTCATAGTTCAAAATGGGGAGCCGTCGCCACCAGAGTATAAACGGAAGACTGTGAAAACATGACTGCCAATCAACTGTTGATAAAGTGGGGGGAGGGGGGTTGGGAGAAACATGAATATTTCAGAGCTTGAGGGGGATGAATGATCAAGCAAGATCCTCCACGCTCCCCCTAACCCCTCCCTCCCTCAGGCGATAAAAAGTAACCGGTCTCTTAATTCAGATGTGGCTTTCTTCCTTTTTTTCATCTTCCTTATTTATTCTTTTTTTTCTTTTTTCCTTTTCCGTTTTTTTTTATGACAACACGTTCATCAAGATTGAAAATAAGTAGATCAATGTTGAATTACGAAGGATAATGGAAACTAGGAACTGGTGGGCTTCATTCGTTGAATTTACGTGAAAAAAAAAGGTGTACATTTTTCTCTCGTGATTTTATATATGACTACTAAGGGACTTCTTTCTTCAAGATTTTGATTTACAATGTCAATGCTCCCCTTGAACAATATCCCTTCGAAGGCCTTCGAAGAAAGCCTTTTTTTATTTTTTAGTGTAAAACACCTGTGCGTAAGAAAAATGAGAACTGCTTACAGATTAGCCTAAGCCACCTTTCGTAACGGGGGCTGAGAATCAAGATATACTCAAACTGACCTGAATAAACTGTATCTGTCCTCACGATCTTGATTTTGTCAACGATGGGCTGTCTTCCCTTTCTGTTGCATGGTTACCTGAAAAGCCAAACAAAAAATACATTATTGACGAAAGACAATTGAGGAAATTCATTCAAGTGTTACATGTAATCGTAACATTTCACCTTTGTGAAATTCTACTTATCGAAGCCAAGAAAGTATTACTTAACGCCGTATTAACCAATATTGTTGAAAGTAGAAGTTAGTTGGAGTTTTTCACTTACATGGTTAATATGGCGTTAACATTTGACCACTTCGTAGAAAAAAATGTTTGGGGGTGGAGAGGGGAAAGGATGATTAGAGTATACACAATAGGCCATTTTACAGTTGTGTACTTAGTTGCCAAGCCTTTGATTCAGAGTGAGGCTGAAGGTGACATTGTTGTGATAGAGACCTGTATCTACTTAGCATGATAACAAAGTGATTTACATTTGAAAGGCAGCAAGGTTTGTATCATAACAAGGTCAACCCTAGCCTCACTGCCATTCAAAGGCTTGGCAACCAAGCACACAACTGTGAAATGGACTATTGTCGAGGATGAGTAGCTACTGTGGTATGTTTTGGTTTTTAAAACCTTGAGATGAGCCAGGATAGTCCCAGTACAGGCCATTTAAGGTTGAAAACTTTCAGATTGGCAGTTCAGAATATGTCAGATTCTGGGACAATCAATTGTTCACAATAATGGCAATAATGCAGGAGTACTCCCTAGGATGTCATCGTCAAACAAATAGTGTTTTTAGAAAAACTGATCTAAGACTGAACCTTTTTATCTATAGTACCTCTGCCCCATGCACCCATGCCCCCATGCCCCCATGCCCCTGGATAGATCATCCGGTTTCTGATTTTATTATTTTTTTAATGCAAGACTGCATTGCAGCTACTGCCTCCTCTTGTGACAGTCCCTCGTCGGGCTTGAAACTGAGATAAAGCTGTGTATCATCAGCGTAGTGGTCAGTGTGCCACAGGAAGCTGGCCATCAATTACTTTAAACAACTTAGATGTATAGATAATGAATAACAGGGGGCCCCAGTAAGAACCCTGTGGAGCACCGCAGTCCAGACTGAAGCGTTTAGAAAGAGCTCCATGAACAAGAGACTCGCTGCCCTTGCTTAGATATGACCTGAACCAGTCAAGAGCGATGTCAGAAATACCAATCTCCTCGTGCACACGATCAATTAAAATTTCGTGATTTACGGTTTCAAAAGCAGCGCTTATTAAAGACTTCTTGAGAATTCATCTTCATGAGAATGTCATCGGTTATTAGCATTGCTTATGAACTTTGCGATATGTGTCTCCAAATCCTAAGCCTTTTGAAGTTGTCATTTCGATATCCGTTTTATAAATTGTCTTTCGTTGAGTAAAATTATAAGACATTTCACAGCATTAAGCTGACATAGAAATGTTCTGTCTTAAAAAATTCACGAGGGAAGGCTGGAAGACTGGTTGAATATTACCTCCAGTGAGCTGAAGCTCTCTCAGAACATGCAGAATTGTCGTTAAATTATTTCTTCGTACAAGAGAACTAAACTAGATAACTTACGTGTGGTAATCGAAGGCAGGACTTCTTTGTGTCCGTAGCTTGACTCATTTGTTGCATCATTGCAGGCTGCAACCTTGGTGCGATGATCGTTACACTTGAAGAAAAACGGCACTCAAGACTACCCAACATTGTTTCTTCGTCTTCAAAACGCGAGAGTTTTCTAAGACTTATTTGGCAACGATTTTTCAGACCCAAATCTGCAATTTAAGCTTAGGAGCAACAAACAAAGTTGTGAGCTCCATCCCCGTGCAAAGGTTTCGACTGAACTTAGATGAATGTTAAATGGCGTAACCATATTTGCAATTTAAATTATACATTTTAAGGGCTTAACAATCAATATTCAAAATAATACTCTGAGCAGTAGAAGAAGGTGTGATTTGTGCTGTTCACTGAACCCAGTTGTTCAACTCTGTATCTCTATGCAGGCTTTACGACTTTTTTAATGTTATATATGTACAAGATAAATGCTAAAAGGATAGCTTGATCTCGTTTTATTCATATTTTGAATTACACGTCTTTTTCTCACTATCTCTTGCCAAATTGATAAGTATGTATGATACGGAAATATCAGCCTTGAAATTGCCATGGATTTCTTGGCAAAGCTGGTGATAGTCGTCGGAGGAAGTTGTGGGGCTGGAGGGGGGGGTAGTGGTGCACTTCCGGTGAGTCTTAATAAAGATAATAATAATAATAATAATAATAATAATAAGGATAATCATAATAATAGTGATAATCATGATAAAAATGGAGTGCTTCTTAAGGCCTGAAATCCAATAAAAATTGTCCGTGGCACTTTACAATATAGTTAGTTAAAAATAAATGAAAAATTATAAAATGCACATTAAATAAAATTCTTAAAAGGTCAATATCTATAGAGTTTTTCTAAAAAGTTAGCAAACTTATTAGACTTAAGAACAAGTTGAGCGGCCGAATTTTCAATAGACTGTTATTGAGCTATGAGAAACTTAACTCTATTCAAGCCCTGATCTTATTTGAGAAAAAAAAATGCCGATCGTACTGCTGGACCGTTCACTGGGAGAAAAATGTCATAAATTTTGTTTTATCGACCTTCTGACGCCACGCCTGGCATTTCAAGGAATGACAATTAATACATATTTACTTTCAAAAGTATTAGCGCCGCACAGGTAAAAAGCACATTTTCAACGCTCATACTCTCTCATACTCATTCTCCTGGAAGAAAATCAGTCCAATAGGTATAGTGTTGCCGAGACTTCAGCTCAACATCATTTGTGTTTTTTGACCATAATTTATTCCAAAAGTTCTGCCAGTTTTACAAAGCCAATATTTCTAACGACCAAAAAAACACCATGTTCTTTCATCCGGGTTACAAAGCTTCTTACGTAGTACTTCATATAATATCAACGTAAATGTCCAATCCGTTTAAAGCTAGAAAGTACACTTCTGCGGCGGTAACAGCACACTTCCCTTAGGCGCCAGTTACAGAATGGATCTAACAAAAGTTGCGTTAAGTTGCAACGAACACTGAAGACGTCTCTTTGCACCGTCAAGGAATAAGTTAATTTTATCGAGCTAAAATTAACTTAAATAGTGCTTTACTGCGAAGGATCGTGCACATATGCGAGCTAAAATTATGTTTACAAGCATCTTCACAAATATGTGAAACAAATGTTATCGAAAAAAACTTTGTACGAAAATACTATTTTCATTACGCCTTGTCCTTTATGGTTACTAAAATATGTCAAAATGCAACACAAATGAGTGGTTTTAAACACTGTTAAAGATTCACTCAGTACTCTTTTAGCTCCTTAAAATGTATCTCCTACACAGCTCCGTCATTTATTAAACACGTTATTTTCTCAGCATTTTTCTTTTGCGAAGGATATGTGCAACAAACGAGTCATTTTAAACACTGTTAAAGATGTACTCAATGTTTTTTAAGTCCCAGACCTATTTGAGTTTAAAATGTGTCTTCCACCAAGAGCACAGCTTCCCAAAATCACCACCCATAGCATTTTTTTTGGATCTGCACGGCCAACGAGTTATTTCAAACACTGTTAAAGATGTACTCAGTGTTTCCAGACCTATTTGAGTTTAAAACGTGTCTTCCATCCAAGAGCACAGCTTCCCGAAATCACCACTCTTAGCATTTTTTTTTAGATCTGCATAACCAACGAGTTATTTCAAACACTGTTAAAGATGTACTCAGTGTTTGCAGACCTATTTGAGTTTAAAACGTGTCTTCCATCCAAGAGCACAGCTTCCCAAAATCACCACTCTGGAATTTTTTTTGGATCTGCACAACCAACGAGTTATTTCAAACACTGTTAAAGATGAACTCAATGCTGCTTCAAAACCGTCTTTTATCAATTTGAATGCAAAAATGTATAATCGGGTTTTGAGAAAATTTGAAATGGCCGTTAATTTTTGTCTGATTGGCAAACTTATTGCCAAACTGCATTAATTGACTAACTATTTTCTGCCCTGTTCAGTTATAAATTAAGCAAGAGATAAAAGGAATTTAAAGGTCACCCATCCATTGACTAACGCTCCACATAAGGAGTTAACCTTGTAAAGTTAGTGGAAAAAGCTTTTTTAACTATTCGTTAAAAAAAAAAGAAAAAAAATAGTTTCATATTCTGTGCTCAAAACAAAAAATGTTTCTGTTGTGAACAATTTTTCCCCTTGAAATAATAAAAAGATAACAAAAAATGTTGATTGCAAAATCCGTAGCAGAAGAGGTTTCAACTATCCTCACGATGCCAGTTTAGAATAAAAGGCAAAACTAAAATTAAGATACGAAAGAAAACTTACAGCTTTCTGTCATTAGGGAACGGGGCTTTCGTCCGAAAGTGAGAATAGGGTTATGCAGATGTAAGGAAATGGGTAATTTATACTCAAGCATTCAGATATAAGTCATGAAATCACATACTTTGATGCGGTATGCACCAAATGATATTGAAACATGACAATTAAAAAGGAACCAAGGAGATTGGTTTTTTAGAACAGTGCTGGATGAAACTAGCTATAAACATTATTCTAGATGCGTGTATTATTCTTAGAAATGATGCGAAAACGTTCACTTGAAATCAATATCGACAGTCACTTTTCACTGATTTTTTTTTCTTCCCCTTAGGCATTGTTGTGTTTACTGAGAAACAACTTCCAGGTCTGGGATCTTAAAAACCTTTTGTAAGTCCTCCAACGTAGCACTTTTAGAGAAGAGATCATGCAAGGGTTTTTGTTTGTCAACCTTACCCCCGTCCAAGCCTTCGCGGAACAGAGCGGACCCCGGTTGAATTTCTTTCGTAAGGTCGGGTTTCTCAGCAGACCACTTGTACTTTTCCTCAAGATCATCAGAAGTCGTGAAGAGACTAGCGTCGACTTCATCTACACCTTTTATGAGAACAATTAGGATTGAAGGCAAGTAGTCCAGATCAAGAAATAACTTAAGAAGCTTTGCGTAGACCCAGGCCTGGTGAAGGTGGTCGGATGCCTGGCCTGATTCCGTTACTTTCCATTCAACAATGACGAACCTGTCTTCCTTTGTCAATCCGATTGCATCTGCCTTTCCTTTCCAGAGATAAAGTTCCCGCCATTGTTCCCCTTTTTTAAACACGTAACCGCTCAAAGGGACCTCACTTCTAATGAAGCTTACCGTTTTCTGCAAACGCTTAATTAATGAATTCACCGCTTTTTCATCGTCCGTTTTAGGTTCTTCACCATCATTTTTTATCCAATGTGTGAAAAGATTTCCCAATGATGTTCCATAGTTTGTGCTCTTACTTTTGTAACCAGTGAACTTATTCTCTAATTTGCTACAATCGATGGTTATCGCCATTTCCTACAATATAAAATTTATAATAAAAAATTACGAATTCGTCAATTCTTTTTTTTTTTTTTCTATGTTTGGTCGACTTGCTAAATATGAACGCGACGGTGATTTTTTCCCCTTACTTCTTAACAGTGCTTCACAGGCAAATGATAACGTTCAATTTGTGTTTTCGTCGTGAGGGAATACCGGTGAATTTACTGATCACGAAACTCAACGCAAACGGTCAGGGTAAAACTGTTTGCATTTTGAAGTGCAAATGCCTAGAGTGACCGGAACAATTTGTGATGGTCGTCTTTATACCCGCGTGCTCTACTTATTGTCACTTAATAAGCTAACAATGAAATAAGCAAATCATAGTAATTGCGCAAATTCGTAGCCCAAAAAACTGAAGCAAGGACGGTTTATACATGCACGAATCCATCGATGTGGAAGCCGAGAATAAATTGATTTCCTTTATGCGTTAATGAAGTAAGCCCGGCAGTGGTTGTAAAAAAGAAAGGTTTGACGAATTTGATAAACAGGACCAATACATTCAACTTAATCGATGGTTAAATATGTAATATAAAAATTTTAAAATATAGGGAGGCCCTTCTTTAAATGAAAAAGTGATATTATAAGTATTAACGGTACCTGTGTAGTTATTATAAGTAATAACACGATTCCGAGTGCAATAAAATTGCATGATTTCAAGTGCCGCTCGTTGTATTCGAAAAAATTACGAGTGCTTATTTGCGCCAAATTGCGTGAGAAATCATGTTGTTACTTGTTAATAAATCATATGAAAAAATGCATTATATAGAAAGTCAGGACAGAGGAAATTTTAACAGCACATGTGCTCTATTTGTAATTCGCACCCGTGTTACAACTTTGCGCTCGTGTAACATGAAAAATGTACTCGTCCTCAGCCAATCAGACACGCGTACCTTTTTCATGTATATTTATTTATAACCGCCTTCCGGTTAGCTAAATTGGTTAGAGCGTCGGATTGTGTTTTGCGGAAGGTCGAGGGCTCTAGCCCCGGCCTGACCAACTGACTCATGGTCTTAAAGTAAGTGAGGAGAATTTGCTACTTTTCTATAATCAAGAAATGGATAGATATTCTAGTCTTCTCGGATAAGGACGAATAAACCGTAGGCCCTGTCTCCTGCAGGGTTAGGGACAGGAGACGTTAATTTCCCATGCATGAAATTAATGTGCATGCGGTGGATGTCCTCCCCTGGGTGGGATGGGTGGGTGTTGGCCCTGAAAAGCCCCTATGGGGAGTGGTCAATTAACCTATGTATGTATGTATGTATGTATGTATGTATGTATGAATATTATTAATTTTTTTAATGAAAAGAGTACAAACCTGATTAAACTTGAATAGTTTCGAGTTCTTAGCAGCTGTTGAGGGGTACAGAACAATAGACCCTTCTGGTGCCGTAATTTCTTTGGCTGCTATCACCTTATTTTCCAAATCATCCATAGACTTTGATTCTTCTTCCATGTCTGAGATAGTATCGTTGTAAGCCCTGGTGCTTCCGAATGGATAAAGGAAAGAGGACTTTATGGTTCACCAGATATGACGACAGAGTTAGCTAGGATTTTAGAAAAGCTCATCAGAACAAACGCACTCTAGTCATAAGAATTGCATGAGACAAATAGAACCGAAAATCGAAAACAAAAATCGAACTTGCGGCACCGTAATTTCCCCACAATTACTGTAGTTTTCACCTCCATGAACTTGAAGAGGTTGCTACTATCAAGCTGTTGTGTTCACCTTTTTTGAGCTCTAACGGCCTGTTTTTATAGTCTTCCACCCGCATTGAAGCGCAACCACTAAAATGAAACTATAAATAATCTTTTAAGTAAAATTCAATCCGTGTTTATGGCTATTCGCATGTACGCACATAAATTACAAAGTGAATTTGAAAGAGAAACTTGTCCTTAAGGCAAGGAGTAAAATTTTATAGTTTAACCGTATGATCTATAACAGAATCTAATATTTTCCGTGACACAAATTTCTCGTAGGTAATTCTTTCAAGAAAGGCGTTATGTAAGAAAGAATCGTGATTTCAAAACCTAACTTCATTTTTCACAAAACACAAATTGAAGTAGATCGTTAAAGATGGACATCAAAATTATAGGTAATTCTTTCAAGAAAGGAATTTAGCATACCTTGATATTGAAGATAAACTAGACCAAACTTGAAAAAAGTTGCGATGGCTGCATCTTCTGATCGAAAGAGTGTCGTTAGTGAAAACTTGGAAATAACTGACTCATATAGAAGTTGTTCGTCAGTTTTTATAGAGCTACGAAAGAAAAGCGGCAGTGGGCCAGTTTTCAGAATATTCCTGTTTACCTTCGTGAACGGGCCTGTACCTGACTTAGCTGTAAAATTTATCAGCTGGAGTGTTAAACACGTAGACAGTTTTCCTGACTTTGTTATCCCTTCAGAAAAGGTTTTAAGCTGGTGACACGCGAGTGAAGGTCGCTCTCAGTTTAAATAAACATATGTTCATGTTAATATTTATATATATATTATTGATTTAAGGGGTCGTTCATGAAAAGTTCAGGCCAGTCAACGAGGTTGTGATGCAACATCAATGAACGCAAGCCAACAATAGCTCAAAAAAATTTTCCGGCTACCCGATAAAACTGCTGTATTGAGGTTCTTGCCGAATAAGACAAGTCCAAACCTAAAGAATCACTGATCTAATTGAAGTTAATCAGCAGTAATAGCTTAGGAAGGTGTCTTTTTTAGATCTGACAAAATACTTAGCCACTTGACCAAATGGC